CTGGAGGGAGGGGAAAAAAATGGTTGGAACAGTTGGTTAACGGCTGACTGCTGACCAGAAGAGGAAGGGGAGAAAGGGTGCTCTCGGATGGGAGAGAGAGAGCGTGGACCCTGTGAGCTGCTGAGGAGTTTAATGATAGAAACTCTTGGTGTATAACTCAGATACACATAGTGCTCCTCTATAAGAAGTGAAGCAGTTTAAGGAGACGCTAGACTGTGGGAGAGCCTTCAGTAGAACGGAGATATAAAAGATGGAGCGCGCAGGAAGGGTGTGGTCCAGAAGAAAACTAAAAGACCTGAGAACAGTCCAAAGTTAAAAAGAGGAAAAAAGGAACAAAAGAAAGCCTGAACAACTGATTGACTCCCTGCATATACCCCTGTCCCCCGGTGTTATTTTAAATAAACTTGTATTTGTGTTTAAAGTGGAGGGGTGTCATAAACCTCTGTATCGAAGAGGGAGAAAGTATGCTGAGAGCCCCCTGCAGTTACACACCCGTCTAAGCCCGCTGAAGTAAATGGATTTTAGAAAGGTTTCTCTCTACGTAGGACTGAACGGTTATGGTGTTTTGAGAACTCAGAGAACAGCATTTGCAGTCATTGACACTGAAGAGGCAAATGCAGAAGCAGATTATAGCCCGTGATCCTGGGTGACAAAGGCATGGGAAGCCCATCAGGACACCCCTTTCACATGGAGATCGGAAAACACATCAGCAAAATGGCATAAAATTGTTAGTTGATTCCATGCAATGATGCACGTGAGCGGAATCACACGATCAAGAGGCTCATGTGACACGAGTCTTCTTGAAATGCCGCTCTTTAGACTGCAGCCGGAGATAGTTCCAGAGGACAGCCATGTTGGTTTGCAGTAGAAGAGCAACATTCAAATCCAGGAGCACCTTAAAAGGTAATGGTAAAGGTTCCCTCGCTCGAAAGCCAGTCGAATCCGACTCTAGGGTTGCGATGCTCATCTCCGTTTCAAAGCCGAAGAGCCAGCGCTGTCCGAAGACGTTTCCGTGGTCATGTGGCTGGCATGACTAAACACCAAGGCGCACGGAACGCTGTTACCTTCCCACTGAAGTGGTACCTATTTATCTACTTGCAATTTCTAGCTTTCGAACTGCTAGGTTGGCAGGAGCTGGAACTAGAGACGGGAGCTCACTCCATCATGCGGCAACCCGGGTCTCGAGCACCTTAGAGACCAACAAGATGTTCAGGGTACGAGCTTTGGAGAGTCAAAACTCCCTTCATCAGATACAAGTAGGAATGGCGACGAGCTCCATTCTTATTTGTGTCTGACATGCCCCGAACATTTTGTTGGTCTCTAAGGTACTCCCAGACTCCAATCTAGCTGTCTTAATTTTCTGTGTGAAGCACATTTTTATATTGGGGGGGGCACACAAATGTGGACCCCCCTCCCCCAAGCTATGCTCTGAAATGGATCTACTCAGAGTTGCACAAATTGCTCTCTCGACTTGCTGATTATAGGATTGCGAGTCAACATTTTGTCTCGAAACGCAAAAGGTCTCAGAAGGCTCTGAAACCTGACCTGCCGTTTTCAGGGAAGCCATGGGAGTGTGGCCTAATATGGTAATGAGCTGGGCTGTCAGGGTGTGGCCTAATATGCAAATATTTTTCTGCTGCTGGGTGTGGCCTATTATGCTAATGAGTTTCTGCTGGGCTTTTTCTACAAAAAAAGCCCTGGAAACAATGGTGCACACCCTTCAGAATTTGAGCAGCAGCAGCTGCTGATTGGAACTTAGGAAGCAGAACATAGTCTCGCCAGACAAAGGGTAGAGGACAGTCACGTAGGGCTGCCAACCTCCAGGTGGTGCCTGGAGCCCTCCTGGTATTCCAATTTATCTCCAGTTTACAGAGATCATGTCCCCTGGACAAAATGGCTGATCAGAGAGTGACTTTCATGGCATTATACCTGGCTGAGCTCCCTGCCTTCCACAAACCCTGCCTTCTGTGCACACCCCCAACTCTCCAGGGATTTCCTGATGCAGGGTTACATAAATACACAAAGCTGCCTTGTACTGAATCAGACCCTCGTTCCATCAAGGCCAGTATCTATTGTCTACTTTGGCCCCGGTCCCACGGGCCAGATAATGCAGGCTGGGGGGAGGCGTGGCTGTTCGCCCCGGAGCAAAATAAAGCATGGGAGCCCGATCACACGGTCCCCCAAGTCTCCGCGCGTAGCTGGCAATCACACGGTGATGCTGGAGTGTGGCAAAGAGGCGGCGCAGCAAGCGTTTCACTTTTGTGCGCATGCGCAGTTCCGTGGAGCAGCACTGCTTTCAGTTACGTGTTTATGTGCGTGCACTTATGAAAAACATCCGGTTTGCGATGGGACGTGGACGGGCACCGGATGCCACAGGACACTAGTGCTCCCGCGTTTTCCGGATACTTGTGCATTTTCCGCGGTACTTTTTTACTGCGCATCTTCGGCAGGTTGGCCATGGGTTGGCCACGGGTGCGCTACGTTTCCCAGAGTTCCTGCTGGGCTTTTTCTACAAAAAAAGCCCTGGAAACAAATGGTGCACACACTTCAGAATTTGAGCAGCAGCGGATGCTGAATGGTACTTAGGAAGCAGAACATAGTCTCGCCAGACAAAGGGTAGAGTGCAGTCACGTAGGGCTGCCAACTTCCAGGGGGTGCCTGGAGCCCTCCTGGAATTCCAATTTATCTCCAGTCTACAGAGATCATGTCCCCCGGACAAAATGGCTGATCAGAGAGTGACTTTCATGGCACGATACCTGGCTGGGCTCCCTGCCTTCCACCAACCCTGCCTTCTGTGCACACCCCCAACTCTCCAGGGATTTCCTGATGCAGGGTTACATAAATACATGAAGCTGCCTTGTACTGAATCAGACCCTCG